AGGAGGAGGAGGAGGAGGAATGCCCCCTCACCTTGCCGAAGTCCCTCTTCACAGCCTCGGCACAGGACTTGATATCGTAGTGCTCGAGACCAGCATAGCGCTTGTTCCTTCACGGCAGAGAGTGAGATGCAACAAAGCACGCAAGCATCGACTATCATACTCGAGGATGTCGGCGGGGATCTCCTCGGGGGTGGAGAACATGGCGTCAAGGGGGTAGATCTGTCATGGACATAGTCATGCGCCCGCTGCCACACCCGTGCATGCACTACCTTCTCGATCTTCATCATGGAGCCGTCCTTGAGGACCTGGTCATCACCGAACCCCTTCTTCAGGCCGCGCTCGAACAGGCTGAGGACAGGTGGCCATGTTCCCACAACAATGGTCGCTCCCGCGTTCGCCAGCTGCTTGGCAATGGCCCAGCCATACCCGCTAGAGTCCGCAACACCCGCAACGAAAGCAACCTAGGGAGCAGATGCATGAGTGGAATGGGGGTCGAAAGGAGTGTGTGAGGAGATCCAAAGGTGGCGCATGAAGAAAATGAAATAGGACACTGCAACACAAGCACATCCAGTGCATCTTCTCTTTCCACTATACCTTGCCAGTCAGGTCGATGTTGTAACCCATCTTGGCTCCGGCGGCAGCACTACGCCCTTGCTTGGAGCGAAGGGCAAAGGCAGGGGATCGAAGACCCGTGGGGGACACCCTGGGAGAGGTGAAGGAAGAGGTGGCAGACGAAGAGACAGACGAAGTGAAGGCAGGGGAGAACGACGGGGAGCAGCTGAAGGCAGCGACGCTCTGCACCAGCGCCACAGCCATGGCCGCGCGCATCATTGCTGGGATCCTCAGGCTTGAGCCTGTTCCGAGGGGGGTGTTTAGAACGACAAGTTTGAAGACAGGTTTCAAAAATTGTTGAATTTTTACTAGAAATTTGCGCTAAGTGGGGGACATTTTTCAGTAAATAAACAAATGTTCGAGTGCTTTGACGAAATTTATATACCCCTCGTTGAAATTCCGAGATGGGGGGGAGGCCGTCCCTGTTGTAGGCACGCAACCGCAGTTGGCTTAAAAGTAACTAAAACTACATATATACATAAATAGATATAAAATTGAAGAAGACTTTTATTTTAAATACGATGTTTGATTAAGTGACTAATATTTGATTTGATAAAATATAAAATATTTTAAATATTTATACTAGAAAAGAAACAAGGTAACCAAATCCCTGGCAAATATGGCTTTAAGCACTGCTATCAGTAAAGCCAATGGTATCAAAATCACAACTTAAAACTATATTTGAATTGTTTATATATCAACTACTGGAGGATAGAACAGTTTCAATAGAAATGATTTAGCATAGTACAAATTATGTGTACTATATGAAACATATATAATACTTAATGCCTCCATACAACGTTATAAAAGCCGCCCACACACATAAGGGAATATTGACTATAGACAACCCCATAACCCCTGCATCTTACGGTACCCCAGCACCCACCCCCTCAACCTTGACCTGCCTTCAAGCTCAAGGGAAGCCTCACTAGTATACGATATTTCCTATATTGCAAATAAATAAAATTACTGGGTTCACTGTACGTCCTGACAAGACTGATTCCTAGCAAACGCTGACCCCCAACTTTATCATGTACCCCACCTAGAAGATTGTAAAAAATTGAGAAATCCATAGTCAATATCAATCTGTGATTACCCCACCCTTCTCTTTCCCAAGTACCCACCCTTTATCGTGCCCTTGGATCACAGGAAAACTACCGTGCCTTGATAGACATGAGCCATAACCCCCACCCTCATCAATCGCAAGGCGGCCACCACATTCCGAATCCCGCCGAGACATGGCAGTGGCCGCCGGGCGGCGCGGGCGCCGGAGGTCCGACGCCGGAGCGGCCGGCGGCAGCCGGCCGAAGTTCAGCGAGTCCGGCGGCGACTCGGACGTGCGCCGCCTGAGACGCCTCCCGGCCCGGCGGTGGACGGCCGCTTCAACTTGACTTAGTGACTTGCCACGGAACTTGAAGTTGCCGCGTGCAGTGGCCGTGCGCGGCCGCGCGGGGCCGGACCGTTCGGACTTGGAAAACTTGCGCCGCCGTCCGTCGGACCGGCGGGCCTCACAGAGTCACGGCCGGGCCCGGCCCCGACCGGGCCTCGTAACCGTTCGATCGTCGGCGGCGTTGAGCTACACTGGCAGTGCCAGGCCCGGATCAGGGGGCAGCCCGGGCCGGCGCCGAGGCTAGGTCACTGAACAATGTTCTTGTGAAGGAACATGGGAATGTTCCTTTGAAGGAACCGTCGGGCACAACCCTTCGCCTTGACTAGCATGCCTGACATGGCGGAAAGCGCTGCAGGGAGGGGAGGGGAACATGCAGGGGGAGGCTGCCTGAGGGATGAAGAGAGGCAGAGAGGCAGATGTGAGGAGGAGAGTGCTCGGGGACTGCATGAGAGAAAGAGGTCACGAGGTCGAGGTCGGGACTGCGCTGCTCTGGCATCCGTGAGGAAGGTTGGTTTTCAAATTGGGGCGGGAGGGATCATGGCAAGGATCTTCGTAGTCTTTAGTTGCTTCGTGCTGTCTCGGGGTGAGAATGTGACAACGATTCTCAATCCTACTGGGCACTTGAACGAGGCATTCAACGTGAGCTTTTCAGGGTCCGGGTTCGACAGCGCAGGAGTGTATTCATGTACTATCAACCGCGGGAGCATGTTGGAGGTTGGCTCTGCACTCAGAGTCGATCCCGATCTGATCGTCTGCTACTTCTCTCCATCTTCAAGACTGCCCGGAGTGTGGAATGCAACATTGCTGAGAGATGGCCTGTCGGTGCAAGTGGTGGGCAATAACGTTCTCACAGTCTTCCTACCGCCGAAGTTGTATGCATCCTCTAACAATTATTCTTTTCCTGCTCCCGATTGCAAAGGCTCCTGCTGGCCAATCTACATCCCTCTTCAGGGTGAGGGGATTCTGCTGAGCGAGCGAGGCAAGTTCAGTTGTGGTATCGTGAGCTCGAAGGATGGCAGTCAGATCCTGCTTCAGACGAGGATGGATACCATGCTTTCTTCCGCATTGTCGTCCATCGTTCAAATCAGCCAAGATGGGAGTCTTACGTGCGCCATAGGCACTGCAGATTCCTTTCCTCAATATTCCCAAGGGACTTTCAAGCTGGTAGTCATGTACCAAGGGAGGCCAGTGGAATGGAACGGGGATGGGTTGACGTTTCACTTGGGGGAGGCTTGGACACACACAAGCTGTGATGGCTCTTCTTGCGCACTGAGTGCGATGGGAGAGACCGAATTCCAAGTCTATGGGTTTGGTTTCAGCAATTCCTCGTACGACTGCCAGTTCAGTGGGAACGGTGTAGATGTCACTGGAAAGGTTTCGTACGTAAGTCAAGTGCAGTTAGCCTGCACAGCTCCTGCAAGGAGTCAGACAGCATCTAAAGTCTCGTTCTCGCTCCACAACTCTATGAGCAATCAAGTTCTTTTCTCAGGCCCTGCCGTTCCTACCTTCCGTTACTTTGCCGCCTGGTGGTTCCCTATAACGCCCGTGTTTTCAGTGTTGGGTGTTCCAGATGCAGGTTGGACAACGCCGCAGGTCTATCAGAATGACAAGGTTGTGATCAATGGAGTCGGCTTCAACCTGTCAAGAAGCTATGTCGCTCATTTCATTGGGAGGGATGTGAACGGAGACAGATTGGAAACGGTCCAGGCTGATCTGCAAGTCGTTTCTGAAACGCGCATGCTGTTGCAAGTTCCTCAGTATGGTGGACCAGAGGCATTGGTTCTTGTTAGCCTTTACGAGTGTAGCTCTGAACAGAACTGCCAACTGCTGTCCTCTCGTTACGATGGCAATCGCTTCCGCTTCGTTGCAAGTGTCTTCCATATGACAGTTTTGAACAGCAGCCTGTGTTACCCGCAGGGATCGTACCGTTGCTGGGGGCACATTTCTAATCCAATCAGCATCACTGTTGCGGGTCAAGGGTTCAATCCTTCCTATTCATATCCAGTGTACAGATGTCGATTTTCTTCTCACGACAATCAATCATTCTATGTCCTTTCCGACAGCGTCGTCGCTGTTGATCAGCACACTATTGTATGTAGCATGCCAGCATGGCCTTTCTTATTCGTTCCAAAAGTGGAGCTGACGATATACTCGATGATCTCAGAGGTCACCCTGTCTGCTGGCCTCTCCAACGTCAAGCCTCTCTACTTTTTCCTTCCTGTAGTCACCCGGATGGCTCCTACCGCTGCTCCTGCCTCAGCTGCCCTGCTGACGCTCAGCGGGTTTGGGTTTGCTGGGAACACCTCTTGTTTCTTGCATGTACAGGAAGACTCCCCTTGGCCCCACGTCTTCGGCTTTCGCAGGCTCATGCTGCCTGCCAAGAGGTTGTCTCCTTCAACTTTGAATTGTGACCTCGGGGACCTTTGGGGGATCCGATTCCCTTCCTCGGTAGCAGATGTATACGTCATTCAGTATCTTGGTCTGGGAGTAGCAACGCCCACACACTATGGATCCATGGAGGCCTCCCTGTCGGTCAACTTCAGCTCACCCGACGACATCTGGCCGATCGAGAGTGGAATGATGCTGATCGTTGGGCAGGAGGTGATGATGATCAAGAGCGCCTCCGACGGAGGGAGTCAGTTGGTGGTCAACCGCGCGTGCGTCACTTGCGCCATAGGTGTCGAAGACGTCTACCTGGTCCTGCCGAGAAATTCCAGCTTCGTGTTCAAGTTTTACTTGTCCCCTTGGTACTCCATCAGCAACACAGACTTGTACTCTGCCGGGGGAAGTTTGGTTCTTCAGGGCTATGGCCTGTACAATACCAAGATCCCAGAAGCAAGAAGTCTAGCCTCCTCAGTGACCAGCGGACTTTTGGCAGATTTCACTCCAGGGAACTACGCAGCAGGAGGACTTGTTTATGGGGTACTGTTCGACCTGTTCCCGGAGGAATACGTCTCTGTGACCGGAGTCGACGTCTCCATGAAGGCTGGAGCGGGTCATGTCTGGGTTTACACGAGAAAATGTGAGTGCAGCCTGTGGTTCAGCGAGTTGAACCTCGACGACTGGCAGCTCGTTGCCAACGTGAGCGTGGAGGGAGGTGGCCTTGTAAATGTGAAGATCAACGATGTAAATATCTCGGCCAACGGCAGGAGAGGTCTCATGATCCTCTCTGACCTCTCCTTCGCGTATGCCAGGTGTGACAGCGCTTACGGAGGCTGCGGCACCAACTCGTCAACTGACAACATCTTGACGATCGAAGCCGGTCTCTCCGTCTCGTCCTGGGTCAACGTGATGGGTGAACCAACACTGCTCAAGGAGCAGTGGGGCAACAGGGCCAGCCCTCGTTTCTTCGTCGGCAACGTCAACTATTCCGTGTTACTTGGGGATACCTACGTCTGTGAGCTTCAGAACGAGGCTGAAACTGCCTTGTCCGACTGCTCCAAGGCCATCTCCACCGCGAGGATCGACGAGCCTTCGCTGGTGACTTGCAACTTCCAGCACCTTGACACTGCGGGCATCTTCAACCTCCGTCTGTTGAAAATCACCAGCGGAGGGAAGGAGTACCTCGATGCCCCGACGTACAACGTGACCGTGCACGCGTCCTGGATCACGTTGGAAGGAAACCTGACGCTCCCCAGGTGGGGTGGGAGTGACCTGGTGGTGTATGGCTTCGGCTTCTCGATGGCCGGCATGCGATGCCGCTTCTCCGCTCAGGGCGTCTTCATCGACACCAACGTCACCGCCCTGCAGATCCATGACGTCTGCCGTTTCCAGTACTCGAGCTCCGTGGCCATTGCAGGCTGCCAGGAAGGAACATGCATAGTGCCCAAGTGGCCCACCTCAGATCTGAGCTCCCCCTTGACAACTGTGGAGATCAGCGTTGTCGACGCGGCTAGCCGAGTGATAGACTGGACGCCCCTGGCCTCGACCTTCCCTTACACGTTGTATGGGATGACGGCAGCGGGCAACTCGACTAGCGGGTGTGGGTACAACACAACCTACTACCTCGTCTCCGACTCGCCCGAGTACACTGGGCGATCTGCAACCCTGTACGAGGTCTGGTCCTACGTGACCCCGTCGGTAGTCCCGGCGACGGGGGAGGAAGACGTTGTCATCTCGGGCTACGGGTTCAACAGCAGCGGCGAGTACGTGTGTGCAGTCAGTATGCTGGGCCATAGCGCCTTGTACTCGTCGCAGGTCGTGAATGACTCGGCGCTCCGTTGTAACCTCAAGGAGTTTGTGTGGGGGAGTCACTTTCCTGCTTTCCACTCAGAGCAGGCGCTGTGGGGCAACGAGGGAGAGGTCTCCGTGCTCAAGTCGGTAACGGCAGTCAACGGCTCCGACTTGAACGACCATGTAGGGATGTATGAGGAGATCCTGAGGCGGGGCCTCAGCCTGTACTTGATGGGTTGTGGCAGTATCAGATCGCTGCTGGTGCAGGAGCAGAACGGAATCAAGTCAGCGGTCTTGGGAGACTTTCTATGGGGGGACGGGGGCGGTTGGCAAGCATGTGACTCGCTGACTGTCATTTCGGAGGTGAAGAACGAAGAGCCGAGGTGCGAGAGGTTGGCAGGGAGCCTGTTCTGTGACAAGTCAAGGTCGACTTCCCTGTCGTTCACCTCGAGCTGGGGCTCGCAGAGCAGGCAGTACTCGGTGACGAAGGAGAATATAGCGGTGGAAGTGAAAGGGAGCGGGTTGGACGTGTCGAGCTGTTACTTCCTCAACTTTACATCTGAGCTCGGCTGGCAGCTCTCTTCCTTTGAGAAGCCGCGGAATTCAACTTTCATCGGGTTTGTGTTTCCCGGATGGAAACTGAACAGCGTCAGGACAAGTCTGGAGCTTCATCGAATTATCTCCGACCAGCCCATCCCATCGTGCGAACACTACTCTTCAATCTTCAACTCCTCCGTCACCAACAACACCAACACGTCCAATACTTCGAATGTGAGCGATGTATTCCTTGACACCATGGCTTCGTTCAACTCTTCAAATATCTCAGCAACGAACAACTCAAACACAACATCAGACCCTTCCCTTTCTTTCTCTACTGAGCTTGCCGCCTTCAACACTACAGAACTAGTATGCCGCAGCGGATATTTTCCGGACTGCGAGGGTGGAGAGCAGGTCAACTATGACTTTCTTGCCGAATGGTACTTTGGAGGCAACGACGCGAACTCGGTCCAGCTTCAAGGGTACGGCATCGGAGAAAACTACAACTACACCTGTGTCTTCCAGAACAACATCGGCGAATTCCAATCAGCACTGAACATAACCTCGCTAACTTGTCCGATTCCATCAGGCTACTTCTCGCCTTCGTACCTCAACATCTCAGTCATCTCGTCGCTTCCTCTGCTCAGAAACGGGATCAGCGATACTGTACAGACTTTCTACTTCGGTCTTCTCCAGGGCCTCAGTGCCAACCCAAAGCTGTCTGGTCCAGCATCGGGAGGGTCCGTGGTGAGCGTGAAAGGATTCAGGTTTTCTGCTTCTGCCACGTACACTTGCCTGTTCTCAAGGGAGCTGGAAGAGAGAGAAGAGCAAGCGGAGTATGTCAACGACGAGCTTCTCCTCTGTCCCACTCCAAACTGGGGCAAGGATTACCCAGCCATGGGGGGCAGAGTCCAGGTTGACATCGCCTACGAGGGTTGGAAGTTTGCCAAGGCCGACGTCGACTTCTCGTTCGAGTTCTACATGATATGGAACTCTTCCTACGTGTCACTCCTACAAGCGTCAGTCAAGGGCGGGAGCAGCCTCGACCTCCGCGGCTTCGGCTTCGTTCAGTCGGTCGAGTACTTCTGTCTCTACGAAGCCTTTCAGACCACCGTGGCTGTTCGAGCAGACTACACGACGGTGACGAGCTTGACTTGTCCATCGCCAGTGGTCGATTATCCTGCGACCACCGTCACTGTGAGCCTGTCCTACTCTTACAACGGAACAAACCTGTCAATTCCCCAGCTGGATTCTACCACCCTCTCTCTTTCCCTCTACGAAGTGGTTGACAGCGTCTCTCCCAGCTCGGGCTGGGCTAAAGGCGGCCAGAAAGTCGTTGTGTTCGGCCAAGGGTTCGTCCCTGAAGCAAACTACTACTGCAAGTTCGAGCATGGGGAAAGCATGTCGGTGAAGGCGAAAGTGGTGAGCACCACTGAGCTCTCATGCAACGTGACAGCATGGGATGTGCACGAGACTGTCGGCCTGGAGATTCTCAGGGAAAGTGCGAGCGTCGTCCACTCGACTCAGCTCTCCTTCACCTTCCTGCAAGGATGGGACTGGATCGAACCGACCCTTGCCTCAGCTCGAGGGACAGCCAACGTCACCATCTACGGCTTCGGCTTTGACGTATCTCCCTACCTCTGCAGATTCTCGTCCGGGAGCTCCAACTTGACGACTGAGGCCGCCGCGATCTCCCCTGGCCTCATCGTCTGCCCCGTTCCAGCATGGGGCGCTGACTTTCCGGTCGCTCCCAACGAGACTGTATCGCTCGAGCTGCTGCAAGGGATGGAGGTTGTGCCCTTCACCAACTCAGGGTTGGAGCAGGTGAGCTCGGCTCCGTGTCAAGACACTTCCTGTCAGCTCCTCCTCTGCTTCGAGTGGGTCTCTTACAACATCGACAATCAGGACAACGGGATGTTTGCTGGGGGCTCCAGCAGTGACGGCAAACTTGTTACAGTCCATGGGTTCGGCTTCTCCCCGGATTTCACCTACACGTGCGAGTTCACCATCGGAAGCTGCAAATATCAACAAGTTGGGACTATTCAGAGCTTCCAGGAGCTCAGCTGCCCCGTCCCAGCTCTTGCTGCCTCCTGCCCTGCTTCGTCAGGGACTCTGCAGCTTCTCCTGGAACCCCTCCCGTCTCTCTGTCCCGCCCTGTCTGTTCTGAGCCTCACCTACCGGCCTTCATGGTCGTCGATGGGCTCGCTGCGACTGCCAGCGAGCGGGTCGGAGACGGTGATGGTGTATGGCAACGGGTTTGTAGAGGGCTCGATATATCAGTGTCAGTACGTGTGTGCAGGAGTCAGTTTTACCATGAAAGGGTACTGGAGGGACACAACCATCCTTGAATGTCACTCGCCCACCTGGAATTTCGCCGCTACCACGTGCAAGGTGTCGATATTGCAGGACAGCCACATCGTTCGCTTCCTTCCCCACCCGGTGAACTCGTCTGACGTCGTCTTCTTGTATCCTTGTACTGACGGAGTCGTGGCGCCATCCTCGTTCTCCTCCATCGGGGGATCTATCCTCACTGTGTTCGGGTTTGGCTTCAACACAGACGTCTCCAAGGACTACATCTGCATCTTCTCCGGCCCTTCACTGCAGAACTACACGCAAGCCAGAGCGGTTGATGCCAACACCATCATCTGCCGAGCGCCGGACCAGTGGGGATTGACGAGGCCGTCAGGACAAGTCGCGGTGGAGGTGACGGAGAACGAGGTTCCATTGCCCTGCATCAACTCGTCACGGTGCTGGTCCAACACGACCGTGAGGTTCGAGAGCCTTCCTCTCATTCGAAATCTCTCCATCTCAACCTTCTCAGCCTCGGGCGGGGACACTCTGACCATCTCGGGGTATGGCTTCGGGTACTGGCCAGTAGAGTTGGAAATGCCGGGCAAGCTCTGCATCTTCAGAAGCAGCCTGTCGCCAGGTGCAGTGTCAGTGCAGTCGTCGATCTCGGTGGTGAGCCCAGCTCGCATGGAGTGTCGAATTCCAGAGTGGAACTACAGCACAATTTCCACCGGGGTCCTGCAGGTCAGACTGCAAGGGGCATACGTCCCGTTCCTGCCCAACGGCCAAGTTACCTCGCCCTTCGTCTTCGAAGCCGTGTGGGGCCACAAGAATGTCTCCCAGAGTCTGGCCAAGGGTGGACATGTCGTGAGCATACAGGGAGTCGGGTTTCGGCTCGAGGCGACTTACTCTTGCGTCTTTGACTATCAGGGCAATGCCACGTCATCAACGGCGCAGTTTCTTGACACCCAGAACCTCCTCTGCCTCATTCCGAGCTGGGTCTATCCTCAGGCGACTGCGCGTTTTTCTGTGCATGACGTGTCGGGGAGCAGGGAGCTGGACAGGCTGCCGGGTACCGACGACTCGTTCACCTTCTATCAATCCTGGGACTCAGTCTCTTCCTCGAACCCCGTCGATGGGCTGGCGAGCGGGAACGAAGAGCTCCTGCTCGAGGGGTTCGGCTTCGTTCCTTCGGGCATGTACCGCTGTGTCTTCCAGCGGTACGTGGACGGAGAGGTCAACCAGACCATGACGGTTGAGGGACATTCAGTGAGCCCCACTACAGTCTCTTGTCAAACTCCCGCCTGGGGCCTGCAGTACGTGGCGTTCCAGGTCGAGGCCGAGTCGGAGCTGAGAAAGGAAGGGCACACGGCCGTGCTCTTGACGATGGATGACGTTGCAGTCAACTTCACCAATCGCACGCTGGACGCTGTGGAGGTCGACACCTTCTCATGGTACGAGCTGTGCACTTCGGTGGAGCAGAGGGTGGATCAGCCGCAGAGAGGGTCATGCATCTTCCGCTTCCTGGTTGCCTGGTCCTCCCAGGGCACATTCCCTTCCACGTTTTCTGCTGCAGGAGGGGAGCTGATACACGTGAACGCGTTCGGCCTCTCGGCCTCGCTGGAATACCTGTGCGTCTTCTACTATCACACGGGTGACAGCCTGCAGTACAAGACTTTCTCCAACGACATCACACGAGCATGGCAGGGGTATCGGTTCCTGCGGAGGTTCTTCAGCCCGATCAACAAGACATCATTCGAATGCACCTCTCCTGCATGGAACTACCAGCACGTCAAGAACGCGACGCTGGAAGTGAGGATACAGGATGAAGTCACCGACGTGTTCAGCTGCCAAGTGGTCAGCAAGGCTCCAGGTCCTCCCAGGTATATTGAGTTTCTCCCTGGGATCCTGCAAGTCAGCCCGACGAGCCTGCCAGCGCTGGGCGGGTTCTTGATAACCATCTCGGGCTTCGGCTTCGGTAACGAGAAGCACGTGTGCGACTATGGGGGGCTGCAGCAGACGGAAGCAGTTGTATCCACTTGTTGTGAAATCCCTCAGCAACCCTGCATGTACTATCAGGTGCTGTGTGTAGTGGAGGATTGGTACTTCGACCCTGGGCTCTTCAACCTGTCCGTGATCCCTGCCTCGCTGTCCTCCCCGATACAGTTCTACGACAGGAACGGAGAAGATTTCGTAGCCAAGGAACAGTTCGCGCAGACTGTAGATTTCTACACTGTCTGGAACAAGACTAATCCAACTTTCTTCGACCGCCTGGGAGGAATCGATGGAGGGAGGTCGCCAGCGCTGACGATCACTGGGAGAGCTTTCTACGAGCAGAACAAGTACTTCTGTGTGGTTGGGAGCACCCTCAACGAGAGCGCAATGCAGCAGGCTCAGAGTGAGCCGGCAGGCAGTATCGCCGATCTCCTGACTTCCTACTCCAACTTGGTTGTGGAGGCTGTTCACTTGGAGTACAGCCCAGCATACAGGGTGAGCAGAAGCGAGGTGGTATGCATCCCTCCTGTGTGGGACAACAGCACCTTGTGGCCGTATGCTGCGTTCCCCGTCAACCTGAGCATTGTTGTGATGTCAGGGTCAGAATGGGGCATCGTTCCCTTCCGATCGCCTCTGCTCTCGCCTTCCTGCAATCAGCAGATGCTTCTACTGGAGGCGACAACCGCGGATGCCGTCCACATCAACAAGCCTCCTCAGTTCTACACCAAGGGCAACATCTTTGTGCCGGCCGACTCGTCCTACGTGATCATGACGACTGAATGGATCGAGTACCTCTCGGCAGGGAACACCTATGACGGGAGGAGGGTGGACTACGTGGAGTCGCCTCAGTCCCTCACGTTCTCAGTGCAGTTGACGACCAACGAACAGAAGCTGTTCACGCTGCCTCCCTCCATCACCAGCAACGGCACCCTCCAGTTCAGGACCAAGTACCTGGCGTCAGGCAGAGCTGAGATCTTGGTTCAGCTCAAGGACAACGGAGGTACAGAGTTTGGAGGGGGCGATCTCTCCAGCCTCAAGAGGTTCTTTGTCTCCCTGATCCCTCAGATCGACATTCCGACATTCCAGTTCGGAGGCAAGATCGTGGTCCTCGAGGCGGAGAGCTCGGAGGCGAACTCCAACTTCTTCTACCGCATCATGACTGACCTGATTCACGGGCCCTATGAGTTCTTCCAGCAGATGACCTTCAAGCTGGTCCCCGAGGAGAACGAGTACCTGTTCGACCTCACCATCACTAACAACTTCGACTTCGGGTCCGGCCTGAACCTATTCTTCAGAACGCGAAACTTCACCTTCGGCAACACCAGCGTTGAGATCGTCCTCAACAGCTTCGACTTGATCACAAGGCAGTCCAGCTCCCTCAACAAGACATTCGAGGTTATCATCATCCCCGTCAACACTCCACCTTCCTTCCAGCTCGCCGTCGACCTGATCACTGTCAACCAATCCTCTTCTCGATCGTGCCATCAGTTGGCCCATCAGATCTTTAAAGGGCCCACCACCTTGTCCTCCCTTGTAGGCCCGAAGGGAGAGGATTGGTTTGAGAGCGCGCAGGATCTCACGTTCAAGATCAGTGGAGGAGGAGGAGGAGGAGGCGATTGCTTTGCCGACCTGCTGGAAAACGTGTCCATCTCCAACGATGGGATACTCTGCTTCACCCCGGTGCCCCGCATCGTCGGCCATGCGACATGCTCGCTGACCTTGTATGACAACGGAGGGACCTTGAACGGAGGGAAGAACGTCTCGGGCACGCTGGACTTTACCGTTGAGGTCGTCCCTGTCAACGACGAGCCGTTCTTCAGCTTCAATGAGGTTGCCTGCGAGCATGCATCTCAGTATGCCTGCCAGGTGAACGACAGTTACTTCGAGGTCCGGGTGCCTTCGACCTTCCTAGGAGAGTGCTCGAGCCCTGTCTGCCAGGGCTGCGACTTTCCGATCCTGATCTCCAACTTTGCCAAGAACGTCACGGCCAGCAGGCAGTATTTGTACAACGAGCGGAATCAGCAGTTGACCTTTGACATCGTCCCTGAGTCGAACGTGTCGCTCCTTTACAGCAACCTTTCCATAACCCTGGAGACCATCTTTCTATGCATGAACAAGGACGTCCTCGGATCGGAGAACTTTGGGATCTCCCTGTGGGACGACGGAGGTTCGTCCAACGGCGGGGTCAACAACTTTGGGCCCCTTCTCTTCCGGATGACAGTGTACCTTGTCAATTCAAGACCGACCTTCGACCGTTGTGACAACGGAAGTTTGACCTTCTGGCAAGGAAGCGGGGGGCACATGATCCCCTCGTTCATCTACAACATTGACAACGGAATCGGAAAGCTGAATGACGTCATCGAGGCTGACCAGATCGTAACCTTCACTACCTTCCCATATTTTGACCTGCCAGGTTTGATTCAAGATCCACTGATCTACCGGAACGGGACGCTAAGCGTATCCATCGGAGCTTCCATCAACGAGAAAAACTTCTCCTTCGAAATAAAAGCGCAGGACAACGGAGGGACTGAGGGAGGTGGGGAAGACACCACAACGTCGAACATGATGATCTACGTGGCCAAATCGTATCGGATCGTACAAGTCCACCTCGATCCAGGCGTCGACTGTCTGCACTTGGAGGAACAGCTGAAACATGCTCTGCTTCCTGAGGATAACATCGTAGATGTCCGCGTCAGCCAGTGCTCTACCGGTAGCGAATGTGACGATACCGTCAGGAGTGACCTGCTCGTCGACCTTGAAGGTCTTTCTGCAAGCAATAGAAACGTGGTCTTCATATCGACTGACTGTAACCCGTCGCTGCATCTGGACCTACAGGGTTTCTTTGGGCTCAACTTCAACAGCAAGACTTTCAACAGGAACTCTGCACGCGTCCCTTCGTTCTCACTGGCTCGCGAGACTTACTGGACGTACGAATACGGTGAGCTCGCCCTGCAGGATGCTTGTAGCACCTCCGATTACTTGCAAGTTCAGCTCGACGACACGCACATGAGCCTAACCCTGAAAGATTTCATCAATGACATCATTGGGCCAATCAATGTTGACATCGGATCCACGGGAAAGCTCGAGTTATACTTTGATATCACACCGACGGAGATCGTGGTGAATGATGCCTCCTACATGAATAGCAACGACACTTTCTTTGCAAACACAAGCAGATCGGTAACTGCCTTCTGCCCCATAGAGAGCAATTGCTACGACAACTCTTTCTTTGTGAACTGTTCGATTGAAGTTTTTCTTGGGAAGGCACAGAAATTCTTGAATGGGCACGTCGTGTATAATATATCAATGCGGAATTCAGATCAAAAAGCTGTCTTCACAGTAACAATTAACCCTGTCAACCAAGAACCTCGTTACACAATGGTAAAGACGAGCATCGAGCTGGAAGAGAATGTTACTCTTGTTTCGAGTCAATATGAGTTTGCTAGTGACGTGTTATCCGGGCCTCCGGTCTACGACGAGCTCCAGCAGCATCTGACATTCCACCTGGAGACACTGACGGGCTCGTGGCTGTTTGTAAGCCCCCCGACTATTCTGATTGCTTCGCAGAAAGCATACATCAACTTCTCTGTGGTGCCGTTCTTGAATGGTAATGCAAGCTTCGTCCTGACCTTGTACGATGACGGCGGCTACATGTGCGGAAGGAACGTCTCCACTAGCAGCAGTCTTTCAGTGACTGTCCATCCTGTCAATCAAGTCCCTTTCTTCGAACTCAGCTGCTCTTCTCTCTCTGCTTCAGAATGTGTCAACACCTGCGGACAGAACAGCTGGCCCGATTTCTCCTCGTGCTCCTATAATATGAAACTCTTACAAAACTGCTTGACCTGCTCCCCGGCTCCCATGTCAGTGAACTGTTCTGCTGGCAAAGTCCCCTTCTACCTGCCGTCCTTCGCAATCAACATCAGGCCTACCGGCTACATGAGTACCTCGACAGATCGGGAGATCGCAGCCATTGAAGACGAGAGCGATCAGTCGGTGTCGTTCTATGTCCCACCTGCTGGCCCTGCTGATTTGATCTCGAGTCTCGCCCTCGACAGCAATGGCAACCTGTCGTTCTGTCTTCAGGAGAACTCCGTCGGCTCGACATCCTTTGCTATCGAGCTGCATGACTCTTTGGGCGGTGTCTACGGGACTGCGAACCTGACTGTTGATGTGCAACGTGTCAACCAACGACCGTCATTCTCCCTTTGCAATGGAGGGATCGTGAACGTGTGGAGGGGCATCACCTATCATCAAGTGCCGAAGTTTGCCGACAACATCCTGAAGGGGGATTATTACAATGGGAATGATGTTGAAAATTTTCAGCTCATCACTTTTGTCGTCACTCAGTTCAGTGATCTCTCAATCATCAACACGACAACGGTAACAGTGACGTCAGAGGGCACGTTATCGTTCGAGGTCCTGCCGGACGCGTTCGGCACCGTCACGATGATCGTCCATGCTGTGGACAACGGAGGGACACAGAACGAAGGGGTTGACACGTCAATTGCACACACAATTCAGATATCTGTCATCGGATTTTACGCTCAACTGACAAGAGCTGTGCAGGGAGCTTGCCCTGAGGTTGAGATGCTTACAAACAACTTGCCGTTGAACTTGAGCTTCGTGTATGGTGGAGGAAATGACGTGCAGGAAGTCAACTTGGCCCCTGTGTGCGAGGGCAATCAGCACGTGTACTACAATGCATCGGACTGTAAGTTCATCTACATCATGATGCCTTACACCGAGATCAGTGCCGACTTCCGTCAGAAGGTCAAGAGTTGGGCAACAGAGTATGGATGGACGGTCTCGTACTTCGATTATAGTGACAGCAGAACCTCCTCTTTTCAAACGAATCAGAACTACACATCCTGTGAGTACGGGACTGACTTGACTGTCGACATTCTGTCCTGTCAGATCTCCGAGTACGTCAACGTTACCTATGACGGCACTGATCAGACGATGTCTATTGTTGTTTTGAATGTTGTTTCCAATGTAGTTGGCCCTAAGAGTGTTTTGGTCAATGATATGGACCAACTTCAGCTGTCATTCCAAGTCTCGACCATGTCTCAGTACGTCTTCGACTATCAAGCTGACATACGAGCAAGTGACTCGACCTTGATCACCGGCGGCGAGGGTCACTTTGACATCACTTGCGATCAGCAGCTAGAAGGCTCGCGGATGGTTGTGGTTAAGTGCACCCATGGGAGTGTTCTCCTGGGGAAGGTTGAAAAATACCTCAACGGCCGGATGAAATTCCAGGTCAACATGGACGGGACAGAGAGTCGAGCGGAGTTCGAGCTTGACATCCGCCCGATCAATCAGCAACCAAACTTTGAGATCTCAAGGCAGCTCATCGACGTTTACTCCTCAGATCCTGATCACTACATCTATGACTTTGCCTTCGGAATCTCGCCAGCGCCTGAGGTGACCACTCAATCCGAAAAGTGCATCCAGGACGAGTACAAACAGAATGTCATCTTCAAGATTGCCACCATTGACATTTTTGGCGACATCTTCTCTATCTTTCCCTCCATCGTAACTCAGGGGAACAAGGGGGCTTGCAGCGACTTCTACTATCCCAACGGAACTCTGACCTTCTCACTCAACAAAGGGCAGCAAGGTAACGCGACGCTGCAAATATCCGCCAGCGACTGCTACGACAGCTCGGCGAACTGTAATCCCCAGGGGTTTCATCGAGCAAACTTCACCATCGTAGTTCAGCCCGTGCCAAGGCCAACATGCTTCCAGCTGAGCTCGAGCGTCTACCAGGCACAGCAGTCAGACTCGGCGCAGGTCTTCTGGATCCACGGGCTGCTCAAGGACGAGTATGGTACTCACCAGTCAAGTAGCGCAACCTTCGAGGTTCAGGGCTACGACCAGGGAGCGATCTCAGACGCGCACTTCTACCCCAACGGCAGCCTCATGCTGGCAGTAAGCAAGTACACCTTCGGCAAGTTCCCCATGGTGATCCGACTCGACGACCCAGCGAATGTGGGGCAAGAAGGGGGCGATTGCTTCCTACGGAACTTCAGCCTTGACATTGCCAAAGAGAACTTTCCGCCCTACTTCTATCTGTCGACTCCAGTGATCCAGATATGTGAGAACCACAACTACAGCCAGCAGATTCTGGTGGATATCGCCACGTCGAAGGATTCAGAGGCAAGGGATGGTCCACAGAACATGACTTTCTGCGTTGTGGCGCTGGGTGAAGAAATGAATATCTTCCAACTCGGCCCATCTGCTGGGGTAGATGGAATTTTCTCATTTCAGCCGATACCGAATCACTTCGGCCATCGCGCGTTCAACATCACGCTGATAGACGAGGGCACATGTCAGGATTACAAGTCGGCCAGCGCTACCTACCAGCTGGACATCTACATCACGGCCAACAACGACCCTCCTTCCTTCCAGCTGTCAAGTGGTCTACTGCTAGTCAACGAGTCGTCGATCGAGGGATACTTGGTTGAGGTAGAGCAGTTCGCGGTGAACATCTTGAAAGGTCTTGACCTGCCATACCCCTTCGGAGATCAGGACCAGAACGTCTCGTTCCACATGATCGTCAAGGACGTGTCAGTTCCCGCAAGGTACCACATCTCCTACGGAACTGTCGACACCTTGCTGCTGGACAACAGCTGGCACATCAGGCCGAATGGGGCCCTGGAGTTTCAGCTGCACCAGTATGTCAACGGCAAGGCAGAGTTCGAGGTCTACATGGAGGATGACGGAAGCCTCGCTTGCGGGGGGGCGAGGCAGGCTCAGCAGAACTTCACCTTCCTGCTGGAGGTCCTGCCGGTGAACCAGAACCCGAGGTTTGAGTTCTCTCCCTCCTCCGTGCAGCAGGGCGGCGAGATCCCCGTGCTGTGGCTTCTCGAGTCGAGCCAAGACATTGTGAGGGAGGAGGGGAGGAACCTGCTGGTCAACGTCACATCTGGCGAATGGGACGAGGGCGACCAGGGCCTGATCTTCCAGGTAGACCTTGTGGTCGCGCCTGATGATGAGATAGGAGCTGATGATGTTTCTTCTCAGGTCGAGTTCGTGTCCGGCGATCCGGATCTGCTCTTGGGCCCGCAAGTCGTGCTGAACTTGAGAGGTTTCGGCTGCAGCTTTGCTTCTGCTAGGCTTTGCTACTCCTCTGCGGATTTTCTTTTCAGGACGGACAGGTGATTGAATCCTCCTCCGACCTTCTCTGCCTCTTCTCATTGTCTTCAACCCTCTTCCATCCCCAACTCCTTGATCTCCATCTCTTCCAATCGCTGATCATCTTTGCATTTCAGCCATCGTTTCGGATCGAGCCTCTACAACTTCGTTCTGAGAGACACGGGGTCTTATGCGGGGCCGAACCGAGGAGAGACGAGGAAGCTGCTGATGGTGAACGTTGTGCCTGTCAACGACGAGCCTCGCTTCACCATGACTGAACATCTCCTGAACATCCGGATGGGTGAAAACTGCAACCTACAAGCTTCCCAGGCGATGATGTACAACCTAACGATCAGTTCCATCAGCAACAACAGCGAAGTCTTCAACTTGACTACTCTAGCTGACCTGTTAGTCTTTCCGACGGCCTCGTCATCGCAGCAGGACTTGTACCGAACTATCTCGGACACTCTGAGCACGTTTACAGGGAAGAAGATGTCCGTGAGCCTCAGGGCTCCCTGCGTCTCGGGTCCGTCAGACTTATCTGCCCTGATGAACATCACTTGCTTCCTGTACGTTGAAGGCTGTCGGGATGCCGCTGACCACCTGGCCGTACGGAGCCAGCTGCAGACATCGATTGCTGGACTTATAAGTCTGAGGGACTCAAACTCGACCCTACCTGTCTCGGTCTCCGACGGGACATTCGCGTGCCTTTTGGACCGCAACATCTTCGTGGTCCCGAACTTCATCACCAAGTTCACCGTTGGCCCGTTCGAGGGCTACAACCACGACAAGAGCACAAGGAGAAGCTACGAAAACCAGACGGGCTCCTTCGAGTTTGCTAACGTCAACGGTGCCCAACAAGAAACTCCCGTCATCCCTCGCGTCCTCCTGCCCTGCGGGTCCCTCGTCTTAGAGGTGACCAACTCTTCCATGAGCAGCACAAACTTCTCCATCACCCTCGTGGACTCTCATGCTGACGACGGAACCACCCAGCGCTCCCAGACTGAGCACTTCGTCGTCCAGATCCTCCCCTACGTCAAGCTTCCCAGCTTCGACCTGCGTGTGCAGGAGTTGACGATGTTTGAAGGGTCTGGAGAATTCTTCAACAATTCTGTGGCATACAACATACTCTCTGGATCAGGTAACTGGGAGAACACGACCTTCAACATTGTAGTGCAGTATCCAAGCATGTTTGCTGTGCTACCAACGATGACGCTGGATGGATCCTTGAATTTCACTCTCTCGCCATATCAACATGGGACAACAACGCTGAGCATAACCTTGCTGAGTGTCTTCCATGACTACAAGACCTCGGTGATCACCTCGGCGGTCAAGGTGATAGTGTTGAAAGTGCTGCCGGTAAATCAGAAGCCCACTTTCATAGTGCGGGACGTGTTCATTGTGAAGAACTGTCCGGTGCAGGCAGATGAAGCATGTCAGAACAGGTTCCACATCGTAGAGAACTTGGTGTCGCAGCTAGTGGTGGACATGCCGAACAAAGTTTGCAACTCTCAGGGCGTCTTCTGCGACAACCAGAATGTCACCTTCTTCATTGATGACGTCACTAACCCCTCGTTGTTCAATCTTCAGCCAGTGGTTCATGCCAACGGTTCGCTGGTCTTCAGCGTCAATCCTGACCTGACCGGCGAGTCTTTGGTGATGCTGCACGCGACGGACGACGGGCCCATGAACAGCGACCCGATGTTTGCAGGAGACAACACGTCCACTCGACACTCCTTCAAGATCCTCATCGATACCATCGACTACCCGCCGACCTTCGCCCTTCAGCGGAACGTCTCATGTGGAAACCTGAACGCGACGAGGAACGAGACTTGTACCTGCCCGACCCTCGAGAATTCAACCATGAGCTATCAGGTCTGCTCGGTACCCATGAACATCCTTCGTAACGATTCAGTCAACGTCGAGATTCTCCAGGGAGCTGGTCTCCTGCGGATTGACAACTTCGCCTCCTACGTCTCTCCTGCCGAAGGGTTCTTTGCGAGACATAGATCGATCTTCGGGTTCCCAAAGCCTCCGGCCAGTCTCGTGACGTCAGCCGTGAACTTCACGGTCCAGAGGAGCGACCCTGTGGCAGCGATCGGAGGGCTGGGCAAGTATTACACAGACTATGTCGTCTCACCTGACAAGAAACACATTTATGCCGTCCAGAGGGACACAAACTCTGTCTCCATCGCGCAGATTCAGAATCAAAACATCTCGCAGACAGCGTTCCTGGACAGAAGGTCCGACGGCGAGGACAGGTTGAGATTCCGAGGCTTCACCCAGTACGCTAAGAACGACAGTGACATCATCACATACAACCTGACCGACCTCTGCCACTTGTCGTCGGTAGTTGTCGATCACAGGCCCTACATCATGAACTCGGCAGGATGTCAGTACATTCCAGAACCTGCGCCTGTTCCCTCGGACTGCCCCATCGACAAGCTGACTGTCCTTTGCGACATCAACTGCTGCAACGAACTTCTGCTGCAGACTGTCGGAAACTGGGTCTTCGAGTCTGCTAGCCTCTATGGTGAGCAGTCCGTCCAGAAATCCCTGTCGAGCCTCGGCAATCTGACGTGCAACTCCAGCATGTGTGTGTACTCCAGGAACAGACTGCAATCAAACTGCGATGAGAGATATGACACAGTCTACGGACCCGCCACCTTCCGCGACTCGTCGGGGGTGTTGGGAGCGGCTCTGGTGCTCGGGGCAGGCCTGAGTTGCAAGTCTGACGTGTATGCTGACTGGGACCGGACGCCACAAGCGAGCATGTCGCCACTCAACTTCATCTCCAACAACGGCGTGAAGGAGTCGATTCAACTGAACATGTTGAACCCAAGGTTGGTAGTGTCCGGGGACACGACCACTGTAGCAAGTGTGCTGCAGAAGCAACTGGCCGTCTCAATTTGGTTCACGATCGAGAAAGACACGGTCGAGTCGGGGCTGGTGAGCGCGGGATACTTTGCTACATGCGTGAAGGGCTGGACGATCTCATATTCAAGAAGCTCTACCAGTACCTCCTTCTACTTCAACTTCACCGCCAGCAGCAGCATCCAGAGGAAGATCTTAAACACTTACCGCAGGACCCCGACGCTGGAACTCGGCAGCTGGGCTCACCTGGTGGTGTCCTACAACGGGACGGGAGTTGACTTCTACCTCAACGGAAACCTCGTCCAGTCAAGGATCGCCTGCCCAGCTGACTGTGGGGTCCTCAAGTACACTTCCGACGCACCTCAGTGCAAGTTTGACAACCCGTTCTTGCTGGGGGACCTGGGAGTTACCAGCAACCCTCAGCAGCACACGGGGATGGTAAGAAGTGTCAGGATCTTCAAACGAGCCCTGGTTGCCAGCGAGGTTGACTTCCTCTACAAGCTGGAGAACTTGACAACAACTGTGCTGCTTGACAACTACTGGGTCCACGGAACCGGAAGGGTAGTCAACAAGACCATCCTTGGGGCGATATCGCCTAGTGGGGACTTTGCAAACACGAATGAGTCGACGAGCATCATGTTGCACGGGAGGTTCAGCAAGGGCTTCGGGTACCGCTGTGAGTTCATCACTGCAGGGCAGACGGGCGTGTCCAACATCTCCTACCCCATCTGTGATGACCCTCTCTACTGCAGCTACCTCATCTGCCTGGACATATTCTGGCCTTCGGGGATGAGAGCGACTACGATGCGACTGATCCGACGGAACATGACGAGGGGAACAGAGGCGACGGTCTTGCAGCGCTTCTGCTTCGATGAGAGCTGCGGTTACATCCCTCCTGACCAGCGGAATGTCAGCGACTGGTGGATGATAGTAACGGAGGACGGGTCCACGAAGCTCGACACAGGCTGCACGGGAGTTCTCACAACCTTCCGCTTCATCATCCGGTCGGAGATCCAGAGGCTCGACGTGACGTCCAAGGCCGTCAGCCGGGTCAAATCTCTATCGCCGCTGATAGTGACTCAGGACTTCAAGTTTGACACCTACGCCGTCAACGTTTCTAGCCGCGCCATCATCGAAACAAACCTCACGTCAAGGAACTTCACCATCAACGTCGGCCTGTGGAACCGGACGGTCTGCCCGTCGGGCACACTGACTGTCATCAACACGTCCGTCTCCATCCTGCCGTACTTCCATGACTTCTGCAACAGCACCAACAGCACGTGCAAGGGAGGGATCTGTACTTACTTCAACAACCTTACCGTCCTCGGTGTCTCCTCCATCACCCCCTTCGAGTTCTCCGGTCAGACCTACCTGATGGTGGCCAACTACTGGGACGGGAAGAGCACCTCAGTCTTCTCCCCGCTCCTGCACATTACTGTCAGCGGCACCTCGGGGGATGTTGGACTAGTCCATGTGCAGTCAGTATTCACCAGCGGGGCCAGGAAGTGGTTGTACGTGGATGTGAACTCTCGATCCGACGACAGCAGGCCGCTGCTGATCCTGACGTCCTTCGTTGACAACTCAGCTGGCTACCTCTTGAACTCCTCGAGCGGACTTCCCTTGCAAGCTTCTGACCCTATCCCGTTCCCAGTGTGGTCCTCCGCGTCTTCCTGCTCCTTTGAGATCTTCAACGTCTCCTACGTGGCTTTTGCCTCCTTCACGAGCAACCAGGACTCTACCATCTTCGCCCTCGGCGTCCCGAAGAACTCGACATTCAGCTACTTCGGCGACCGGCTGGTCCCTCACGATCGGGAGTTTGCCAACAGGCGGGTGACTGCGAAGAAGGTCCTGTCTTTCACAACCACCAACGCCTTTGACGTGGTACATCTCACCGCCGACAACCGCAACTTCGTCATGTTCGCCAGCTTCATGCTCAACGGGGCCTCGCAGATCTTCGAGCTCAAGGGCTCCGGAATGATCTCGTCCGCTGACCTCCTGCAGTCTCTGAATGTTCCCTATGCCACGTCCTTGCGCGCCTTCACCTACAGCGTCACCTACATCATGGTGGGAAGCGCATCGAGATTGACAGAAATGTATCGGTGGAACGGGACTCAGTTCAACGGCGCTCTGTCCGCCAACACACCTGCCTCTGGATCGTCAGGAGGACAACAGATCCCGTTTGCGAATGTTTCCTCGATTGACCTCGTGCAGTGGCCGAGCTCGGACGGGCTTCATACCTGCAACAACCAGGTCGCCTTGTTGTTTGTCGGGCTTCGATCGTTCGACCCGAATGTCTCGGCCAGCGTGAAGATACTGAGGGGATGGAGGGAGTGTGTGTCAGAAATGCGCAGGCCAGTCGCTATCGACATCCTCCCTACTGGCAACTTCGTCTACATCGCATCTGCAGAGTCTCGCTCGATCTCCGTCTTCTGGCGTGACCCTGCCGTCGGACATCTGATCTACAGCAGCAGCGCCTCGTTCACCTCAGGATACTCAGCTCTGATGCAGCAGATCTCCACCAACGTGATCACCAAGGACAAGCTGCTGAGCAAAACCGACTTCGGATTCCCTTTCCGCTCCATCCGGTCGATCCAGGTGAGCGCGGATGCTCAGAATCTCTACGTGACGAGCTTCAACGACAATGCGATCACCGTGTTCAACGTCGACCAGACGACTGGCGGACTGACTCGCGTGCAGACGCTGAGTGAGGGGCAGAGCATTGCTGGGACTGTGACGAAGGGAATCAAAGGGGCGACGGGGCTGCACATTGCCAACCTGGTGTATGTGACAGGATGGTTGGACGATGCTGTGAGTGTGTTCAACAGGAACTCGAACGGAGAGCTGGGGTTCTGCGATGCGACATACAACGGAGAAGTGAACTTCCTGTCTTTCAACGTGTCTTCACCCAACACTCTGATCCCGATCAAAGCGCTGACCACGACCCAGTCATTCCAGGAGGGGAGCTTCTACCCGAAGAGGATCGGAAGTTTCAGCAACAACTGGGCTCTGACTGCCCGAGCTACGAGGCACTTTCAGATCGACCAGGTCGACTACCTCGCTGTTGCCTCTAGCGATGGTGAGACGGGCGTCGGAACCGTCACGGTCCACCGTTGGAGCTCTTCCTCCACCAAGTTTGTCCTGCTCCAGACTCTCTCCGGCAACCAGGCGGCCCATTCAGTCACCTACTTCAACATCAGCGACCGTGCCGGGCATGTCCTGCACTACCTCGCCGTCTCCAACTCCATGACTTCAACTTGCAACCGTCAGTCAAACGGGGTCAACATCTTCTCTTGGAACCAGGGCCAGCAGCTGTTCGAACTTTTCCAAAACCTTCAGAACACTGATCCAGCCCGCGAATCCCTAACGGGGGCCGTGCACGCTGAATTCTTCACCTTGAAGGGAGACGTGCACTACCTGGCTGTGGCGTACTATGACGATTGCTATAGAAACTCCACAGTTGAGTCCGTCATCTACCGCTGGAACCCCTATGGGTGGATGCGGCAGACCAGCGAGACGGCGATGACCTGGACCCCTGGCTTCGAGCCCTTCCAGAGGGTCCAGACGTTTGGAGCCGTTTGGATCGAATTCCAAGATCCAGTCCTGGTGATCTCCAACTTCTATGACGGGCATTCTTGCTCGTTTGACAACGTCGACGTGTACGTATTCAACAAGGATCTGTACAACGACATGCTGCGAAGTCCAGCTGGATCGTTCGAGATACGGCAGAAGATAGCTGGACATGGGACCACGGGGACCAAGATCTTCAACCTGGAGGGGGTCGGCATGCTGATGGCTGTCGCAAACAGGCAAGCCGATCTCTACAGGATGGACGACATGAGTGTGTTCGATGTGGATCCTGTGATCTACATATGGAATGACACTTGTGTGAACCAATGGACTGAGAATCGCCCGTCGGGATGCTTTCTCTTGTATCAGACCCTGCAGTTCCAGTCTTCCATGGGCAACGTCACCATCCCCGACAGCCTCTACACAACAGCAGCCTCCTCCGGCTCTTCCATCTTCAACGAGTTCCGTGCCAACATGACGGCAAGGTACTGCATGGAAAATGCCTGCACGACGTCGGACGACGGGGCGACGAAGGTAGTCAACCATGTCCGGGGAGCAACGAGAGTTCACTTCTTCGAGGAGGGAGGCAACGTGTTCCTGGCTGTTGCCCAGTCAGTCTGCAACTTCAGTTCCTCCAGAGCTGCCTGCATCGGGGAGATGGGGATGAACGGGGCTGTTCCGCAGTCCAAGTCTTCCATCTTCCAGTGGGAGGCGAGGACGAGAAAGTTTGTGGAGATGCTCGCGATCAACCAGGAGGATGCCAAGTACCCACGGCATCATCAGTACGCTATGAGAGTTGACGTGGGTCAGGCTCTCAACATCGAAGACTTCGTCATCGGCGGTCAACACTTCCTGGTCTTCTCCAGCCATACCCACGGAGCGCTACTCTTTCTATGGCGCTTCGAGCTGGTCAACGGGATGACTGGGCCCGTCGGTGTCACCACGGCCGATACCGACGCAATGTCAACCATCTTCGTGCTGAACGAGCTAGAGCACTCGCTCGTCACTTTCGACATCGCCAGCGTCTACGACGGTCTTGGCCACCGACAGAGTCTGTGCGACAACGTGGGCTTCAAGTTCCGGGGAACGCAGGTCGAGCAGCTGCTGACCAAGAGCGGGCAGGCGGTGGATCCGAGCAAGAAGTCAGCGATGGGGCTGAATGGAGCAAGGAAGATCATTTCCTCCTGCCTGGGGTCAAACTCTTCTAGAAACATCTTCTGGTTGTTCCAGACTGCCGACTCAGCATTCAACAACATGTGCAAGGTCACAGTCCTGGCCGGGCCGAGACGGGACGAGGAGGTCTGTTCTTCTATAGGGACGGCGATCAGCAAGGCCGGGGAGGCTGTTCCCTGCCAGTCAGTGAGCTTCCTCGTAACGCAGTTGTCCGCTGACCCCCCCCAATTTGTCCTGCCCAACCTCACGCTGCATATCAACGGGACCCTCTCGCTCCTCGCTCCCAGCATCAGCGGCTCCGCGAGCTTCAAGGTGGAGCTCTTGGACGACGGGCTGTCAACCAGCTACGAGGGGAGGCGGTTAGGAGACGATCGATCCTCGCCGAGGTACTTTAACCTGGTCGCCATCCCCACCACCTCCGTCCCCTTCTTCGTCCCCTTCGACGTCTTCTGCAACCAGGGCACAGGAACACAGTCCCTCGTGTTCGCTTCTGACCTCTCCTTCGGTGCTGCCGGCAGTTTCATCTCGGACATGTACTGGGAGTTCACCTGGTCCAGGGCAACCTTTCTACAGACCCAGCCACTGCTCTCGGTCGAGCTGGTTGAGGGCATTCCCATGGGTATCGTCAGAGTCACCCCTACCGCCGACGGCTTCGGGAGCACAGTCTTCACCGTTCGCCTCGTGAACAGGTACTCCCTGACGCTGAAACGCGGCAGCTTCGCCTCTGTCTACAAGAACTTCACGCTGACCGTCCGGCCTGTCAACCAGCCGCCGACCTTCAGGCCGAGAGTCCCTTCGCTCACCGTCATGGCCGGAAACGGAAGCTACTTCGAGAAGGGTTTCGCTACGCAGCTCACGGCAGGGAATGCAGCAGAAGACAAGACACAACTTGTATCGTTCAGCATCGCTGGCATACACTTAGGAAGTCAGTACTACACGCAGGACCAGCTCTTCAGCAGCTTCCTTCTCAACTCTACCGTCCTCGCGTTCACCGTCCTCCCCAACACAACGGGAACTTTCAACCTGACATTGATGATCAAGGACAACGGCGGAACGACGGACGGAGGAGTCGACTACTCGCTCGTTGGCATGCAGCTCGTCGTCATTCCTTCTAACAAGCTCCCCAAGTTCGCTCCTCGGGCTCTGAAGGTCCCAGAGGCGAAGCTGGTCGTCCCCCAGGTCTTCACTGCCTTCTTGGTCCGAGAGATCTCCGACCTCAAGTTCAAGGCGAGGAACCTGAGCTTCTGGACCGAGAGCTCCAACAAGAACCTCTTCCTCCAGGGACCCAACATCTCCTACCCTGACGGCACCCTAAGCTTCACTCTCAACCCCTTCCACAACGGCGTTGCCAACCTGACCATCTGGCTCTATGACTCGTCCCAGCAGCTCAACAGGAGCACCAACAAGGACTTCTTCACAGCACAGCTCACCGTCATCCCTGTCAACGACCCTCCTACCTTCAACGTCACCCCCGAGTATCGTTGCGTAGAGAACAGCGGGCCGCAGATAGTCCGGGGATTCGTCTTCGACGCTCTCCCCGGCCCTCCGGACGAGAGCTGGCAGAGCATTTTTTACAATATCAGGATCGAGAACCTCTCCCCCAACCTCTTCTCCTCCTCCCCGTACCTCGACGCCAGCGGCACCCTCTACTTCACGAGCGCTCAGGACGCCCATGGCACAGCGACGCTCCTCATCTCCGCGTTCGATGACGGGGGGTCAGACTTCGGAGGCCTCTCCACCAACGCCTCCCTCAGCTTCGTCGCTGTCGTCCGCGTCCTCCCGCTGCCGAGGCTGCTGGGAATCACTCCAGCAGTCCTCCCGTCCAGCACAAGCATGCAGGTCACAGTTCTTGGGTTGTACTTCGGGTCCACGTACAGCAGGGGATACGCAGCGGGCGAGTATCGAAATGCGCAAGTCTTCTTCGGCAACCGATCATGCGCCAACGTGTCCATCCTGTCTGACAGCAAGATCCTGTGCGAGACGCCGCTGCTCCAGGGAGCCCAACAGCTCTCGCTGCGAGTCAACGAGCTGGGGCTGGACCGGCGAGTTTCTCTTCCCAAAAACGTCTTCTTCAACTCCTTCTACGTGGGAGGCCTCGGGGTCGGGGCGACGGGCGAGGGTTTCATGGGATACGGCTACTCGGCACTGAGCTCCGGAGGGGTTCAGTTCCACCCTGATGAGATGGCAATCGACGGTTCCATCCTGGCCCTGTACACAGAAGCACACGTCATCGTCTTCGGCGGCTCCTTCCGGTCTGTGAACTCCGTGATGGTCAACCACATCTTCATGTGGAACGGGGTCACAGTCAGGCCCTTGGGCTTCGGAGTGGACGGGGAGGTGAAGGCGATCGCCAAGTACGGCAAGAGCCTGTTGGTAGGAGGATCCTTCACCAAGGGCTACTCCACACGAGGAGCAGCGACTCACAGCGGCGGCCTGATCAGGTGGGACGGTGCGCGATGGCAGCAGGTGGAGGGAGTTCTGCAGGGGGAGATCCGGACCATTGTCACCAACGAGAGCAGCATCTTCGTCGGAGGGGAGTTCAACCAGTTCTGCTCGAGGCCCTTCAACGGCATCGCCATGTTCGACGGGACGCAGTGGCGGTCGCTCGGGGACGGGGTGTCAGGGGGGAGCGTCTCGGGTCTTGCCGTCTACGGCAGCGTCCTCGTGGTCGCTGGCAGCTTCACAAGCGCCAGCAGCCTCCCCATCGCAAAGCTCGCGCTCTGGAACGGAACTACATGGAGAGGCCTTGGGCGGGTGAGCTATTTCTCCATCCCAACTCCATCCTTGCTCCATCCCTGCTCTACCATCCTTCCCCTTCCCCCTCCTTCCTCTCCCTCTCCCTCCCCTTCCTCCCTCC